GGGCTCCTCTTCACCAAAATAAACAAGCCCAGCTCCCTCAGCCTGTCCTCTAGACCTATAACCATCATAGCAGCCATGCATTGGACCCTCTCAAGTTTCTCAACATCCTTCTTGAGCTGGAGGCCCAAAACATTGTTCAAGGTGAGGGCATACACACAGTGAGTAGAGGGGGTAATGATTTTCCTGGATCTGCTGACCACATTCCTCCTGATGTAGGCCGGTGTACTGGTTACATTATTTGTGGTAAGAGAGCTTTATTAGTTTATAAACAACTCAGCAGCCACTGTGGCCTCCAGAACCTTTTCAGCAGGCCTGAAGTATAGTAAGTTCTTTCTTTGTCCGGACAAGTGCGTTGGAGTTTGTCTTCTCAGCTGCAAAATTTTACACTTATTGAAGTTTATAAAACACAAACTTCATAAAGGTTTCTCTTGCTGGGGTTTCCAGTGTCTCATGGTGTTTCTGAATTGAAATTATATCAATCATCACAGGAGCCACCTTCCAATTTTGCATCATCTGAAAATCTGCTGAGTGTACATTCTGTCTTCTCATGTGGGATATTGATGAAGACACTGAACAGTATCTTTGTACCAGTCCATTGGTTACTCTGCTCATTTCCAACAACCAACTGGATATCAAGCCGTTGACTCTACACTTGAAGCTTAGGGGTCTGGCCATTTTTGGCCCACCTGCAGTCCTTTCATACAGCCCATGCTTTGTCATGTTATAAATGATGTTGCTTCTGGAACTAAGTGTCGAAAGCCTAATAAAAGTAAAAATATATTGCATCCATTCCTCTCCCTTCATCATCATCATCATAGAATAGCATAGGCTGGAAGGGACCTTAGAGATTATCTAGTCCAACCTCCCTGTTTTGGGCAGGGACGCCACCTCTCAACTAGACCTGGCAACACATGGGGGACCGAGCGGGGATCAAACCCGCGACCTCGGTGTTGATCCTTGTTGCCAGCATCACGCTCAAACCACTGAGCTAACCAGCCCCCTCACTGAGCTAACCAGCCATCTGCATGCCCAGCCATTTCATCATAGCAGGCAACCAAATTCATCAAGCATGATTTGCTCTTGGTAATCCTTGTTGACATTTCTCAATTATTGTCTTGTCCTTTACATGTTGGAAATTGATTCCAAGAGGACATGCTCCACGATTTTTCCAAGGACTAAGGTGAGACCAACCATTGTATAGTTTCTTGAATCTTCCTTCTCACTTTTCCTTAATACAAAGTTAAAATTAACCTTTCTCCAGTCATCAAGGAAAGTATTCCTGTGACAGCAGTGATTTTTCACAGGTGATAGCCAGTGGTGTTGCGATCACACTGTCAGCTTTTTCAGGACCCATTGGTGTATCCCATGTGATCCTGTGTATTTGAACACATACTGCTTCTTCAGGTAATTAGCAACCTATTGCCCCCTGACTCTTAGCCGTCCCTCTCCTTCCCAAACTGCGGAGGTCTGGGAACAGACTTGGCCTAAAAATGGGAGAGCAAAAATGGTATTGAATGCTGCAGCATTTTCTGTATCATCTATGATGATCTTATCTTCCCTAGTAAGGAACAGACTTAAATTTTTTTTTAACCTCTTTTTGCTGCTCTCGTAAAATTCCTTCTTGTTACCCTTTAATGTCCTCCATTAATTTTAGCTCCAGCTGTGCTTTGTCCTTCCTAGTTTTGTTCCTGTGCCCAAACAATGACTGTGTGCTGCTTCTTTGCTTCCTGTCATTGTTTCCACATATGTGCTCTCCATTTCCACCATTTCCATCTCCGTATGTGCTTTTCCCATTTTACTTGGTTAGGAAGCTAACTGTTTAGCCAAGTGGACTTTCTGCATACCTTGTCCATATGTTCTGCTTTCTCATGTGTTTCTGGGTTAGATCCCCATTCTATGACGGATAAGTCCTCCACACTAGATTAGCAAGTCTGTTCTTCCCTGTCTTTGGCAGGTAGACCTACTTTTTAAGTTGTCTTTCTTCATGAAATTGGGTACCACAAGCAAAATAGTTGAAGCCCAGCTACTGCCACCAAATATGTAGCCATACGTGTTCTACTGGATACATCTGCTGCTGTCCAAGGCTTTTCATTTTTGCCATAGGGTCAAAGAAGAAACACCAATAGGATTCCTGTCTGCTTCACACTTGCTCAGGATCCCTGCAGACACTTTTGAAGTGAAGTGGTTTCACATCACCACGTCCTTGGTGTGTGCATGAATAAGCAGAAAAGAAGTCAGAACGTTAGGTGGCCCCAAGCAGCCTTTGGGCAACACCACAAATGGAGGCTCCATGCAAGCAAGAAATCTCCCTAGTGGATGAGACTGGCTGGAAGAGAGTCACCAGCTGCTCATTGTCGCTTATCACTTTCTCATGGTAGTGCTCTGATATGGTGTCTAACCTGGATTCTTCTTCTCGGGAAGCTTGATCTTCCCCTCATTTGACTGGGCCCTGCACCTCTGGGCAGCCCTCCTGCTCCCAGAAGCCACAAGCTTCCAGTTTCCACCCTCTTAGGAGTACATGGCTTCTCCCCACTGTGTTGCACCTCAGTTGCACCTTCCTTGTCTGTTGCAAAAGCTTTTAGACCATGAAAGATCCTGTCAGTCACTTGTTTGTCACCTCTGATGCCGTAAAACACACTTGCCTCTTCTTGCAGCTCCTCACCTGCTGCTGCAGCAACTCCAGGCAGGTCGTCCTTGGGGGTCCACCTGCACAGAGGTTGCCACAGCACTGCTGGTGACAGGAGGGACAGGGGTTGTGTTACAGTCATCACCATGTGGGTGCTGTCTCCTTATGCAAACAGCAAGTCTGGGCTTCTCATGTGTCAGGTGCCAAGTTAACCATCCTGTTCATTCGCACGTCCTGCTGGCAGCTCTCCTTGGTGCCCTTCCTGAGGGTGCCACCGCGTCCTCTCAACCTCATGCAAGATTTCCCACTTGGCAGGAAACCTCTTGCGCTGCCTGCGAGTTCCTGGCCACAGCACCCTCCTTTGTGAGTGCTGGGTCTGCTGAAGGTTTCTGCTCCCCGTGCTGGATCCTAATGAGCTGAAAGAACAGTGTGGGTAGTTTACTCAGCACTGGTCTCACTTGCCAAATGAAGAGGTACTGTTGTATGGTTGACAAGGTTAGTTTCGGAATCTGCCCAAGTGCGTAAAGCTGTCCAAATCCATTTAAAAATCAATTTGCTACAGTTCTGATCCATGAAGAATTAAAAATAGTCTCAGAAACAGGAAAGTATTTATCATCAGAAGTTAAATTTGCTTATTCACTTGTAGGAGATAAACTGGGTTTCAATTACTGGCTAATGATTTTAGAATTTGTGTTATTTTGTTGTAAAATGCGCAGATACTGTCACTTTTCCCTATCTCACAGCTGCAATTGCAGTGCACAGGCAGTTTAAAATTTATGATGGATTATTTCTTGCAATCACTAGCTGTATTTACTAGAAAAAGGTCTTGTGCAGGGACATTGCTTGAATAGAAATATCAACGCCAATAGGCTTGTATAGGCTGTGAGAGAACTGCAGACTTGGAAAGAGATTAGTTTTTCAGGAGCTATAAATTTGCAATATAAAATCAATCACTTTGAGGGGATTGTTTCAGTGTCAGAGTATAAAGTTGGGTTAAATAAGGTGAGAGTATATTAATTTAAGGAAATAACCCAGAAAAAACGTTTAATATCTGCAGATTGTAAGTGTGAGGAAAAAGTGTGTAGAGGAAAAGTGATACTGGTAGGTCTTGTAAAATGCTCTCATTAAATTTCTTTTTATTTATCAATTGCTCTTGGCTCTACACTATATTAGCATGAAGTTTCCTTTGCTTGGCTCTGACTCAGTTTCTGATAGAGAGATTAAGAACATTTATACCTTTAAGTCATGATTGATTCATTCTCTTTATTCTTGCTGATCAGTTTTGGATTTTTTTTATTTGAAATGTAATTTGTACTGTAATGTTCATCAATCTCCATCAAAAAACATTATGATAGAACTGCAAAACTCCTAAGAAAGATGGAAGTTAAAAAGTTACTTTGCCTATCTACTTGAATTCAGTTGCATACTTAAACAAAAAACTGCTTAATACTGTGTCTGGCTAAGCACTGAAGGGACTTTTTAAAGGGTTGGTGAACTTGCTCTGCAGTATGATCTTCAAAGTCAAGACTAGATGCATTTCTAAACTGACAAAGAAAGGACTTCAAAGAGAAATTCTTAGCTGAGGTAGTTCCTGTTGCTTGTACAGGGCATGGGGCGAGATAACAATCCTTCTCCTGGGCTTTAAAATCAGGAGGTTATGGGGTTTTTAATTCATATTTTAAATTTCACCTGATGCATACTTATTAACTTAACATTTTAGAGTATACACTTTATAGTATGTGAGGTGAAAACAGTTTTCACCTAAATATTACTTAAGACTTTGTGTGGAATTGCAGTTGGCTGAGCAGTTTTACACAGATAGAGCATGATGTGTTACACCAATAAGTATGCTAGAATATATGGCAGTAATCCATCCTTGACGTATCTTATTAGGTCTTATGAAATATACGCCCTGATATAAAAAATTTAAAAAAAAAAAAGAATTTTTTCTGAGGCTTCAAGGGAATTGCTGTGGAAATCACTCTGCCAGAAATGAGAATTTTTTTCATTTGGTGAGGTTTTTTCAGTCACTGCTGTATTACAAGCATAGGCAAATCCAAGTAGCTAATCTGTAAAAGATATACAAATTGTTAACCTTTCTTAGATTAATGTGGGCAGAATTAGACTCTTTTAAAGGGTTGTATTAATAAACACTGAAACATTAAAAACAAACCCTATTTCCATGAAATGGCAAAAGAATTTTAAAGTCTTGATAAGTACAGTTGGAAGGGATTCTCTTTACTTCCAAAATTTTCTCAATAACAAAGGGATGGGAAAAAATAGATGAGGTCTAAGCCTGCCAAGGCTTAGCTTACCAGTTTTACTGTGTATCATAAAAACGTGGGGTTTAATGCTAATGACCTCTTAATTGCAGGAGGAAGAATTGGAGGCCCAGATTTCATTTCTACAAGGACAACTAAATGACTTGGAAGCCATGTGCAAATATTGCGCGAAGATGATGAACACACATCTTGGTAAGTGCAGTGCCCTGTATTAACCTGTAAATCTTTGCAAAGGCTCTTTTCCTCTTTGCATTAGAACTAAAATAGTATTTATGTACAGCGCATATTATTTTATAAGCCGTGGGACTGCCCTTCAGCAGTCCCAGAATAATACTTGATGCCTGCAGTGATAGTTGTATAAAAATCATGTGCTTTCATTCAGTGTCGGATCTTCACAATCTATAGCGATGTTTGAGAGCACCAAGATAAAATTCTCTGAGGCTGCCTGGACCACATGGCAATGCGATGGAGGAGGAGAGGCAGCTGTGCCTATGGGGAGGAGAGGATGGGGCAGGGGACCCATATGGGCCAATCATGGTGTTCCTTCCCATGGTGCTCTCCCCTAAGAAGAGCCCTGGGGGGTTTAGTGCTGCTGTGCTGGTAGAGTTGCCGTTGGTTGTTCTCCATCTCTCTCTGTGTTACTGGTCTTCCTGCCTCCTGTTTTGACACTGCAGAGGAGCACTGTTTGTTGGGACAGGTTGTCTTGCCTGGCATCCCTGGATGGGAGAGGTACAGCTCTTTATCTGTTTTATTTTTGGGGACTGTCATCAGGACTCTGAGCTCAGGTGCTCCTATCTGCTGTTGAGTCCAGTCTGGGACTTTTGTGCTGAGGACCTTGTTGCTATCTGGAGAGTTTAGGTTTCATATTAACATATTCTCTTGTATCGCTGAATCTATTTGTATACCTGTGTAATATCCATATATAGTTTAATATCTTTGTTGTTATTGTTAGTGTTATTTCTCTTTTCCATTTAACTTGTTCAAGTTGTTTTTCAGTGTTGAAGTCTCTCTCCCTAGTTCCCCTATTATTCTCCCCTGGGAGGGTAGTGGGGGGATCACAAAGAGTGGCTGTCAAAGTTTAGTGGCTGGCCCAGTCTTAAACTTAGACAGATTTATGGGGCAAAAACCAGGAGAAATATAGTAAGATAGAAATCAAAACATTGCAAACAGAATCAGGAAAGACTCCACTGTAAAATTTGACTTATGTATTGCCACGAATAATCAGAGACAGTAAACAAAAAGCTGCAATCAGTCCAGGTGTAAAATGCTTAGCTATGCTTCACTAAAAGCAGTATTTTTAAATTGTGTTGAATAGAACTCCAGAAGTTAGTGTATTTAGCTATGTGAAAAAGCATTGTTGTTAAATCATGGCACAACTTTAATAATTTCACTGTTGGTTGGGGTTTTTTTTATAACCTGCAACATCTAAGAAAAATAATTGAAAGTCAGATATTTCAGTGGGTAGAACTAAGTATATGATACCTAAGTTTCCTAGGTCAAAAAGATCAGGTTTGAAAGCCATATTATCCTTGTGTTTTCATTTTCTTTTATGTGAGTGTTTTAGTAGCCATTGTTAGGAGCCTAGGAAAGGTTATAAATGTTATTTGAAAGCTTGGAATCACAGCCTCCAAAAGCCAAGTGTAAACCTCTAACTCCAACACCTTTAGTCTGATGTATTATATTGCTTCTCTGAGGGTGCATGAGCAATAATGAAACTAGAAGGAAGCAAAATAGATAAATCATTAGCTATTGAAATGATTACTGGGAGAAGATTACTGTGTCAAGAAGAAAAGCTGAAGTTACATTCCTTTAGGAAAGAAGGCAAGGAGTGTTTAGCAGGGGTGTCAGTTCAAGTACAAGCATAAGCATTTCACCAGCTATGGCTCTGGACAAGAAATCAGAATAAACCCAGGCAAAAATACTTGAACTTAGTCTGCCTTTCAGCGTTGCATCTGTGAAATGAAAGCTAGAGATGCGTTTTAATATCCAAATGTTAAATTCTGTTTCCTAAATATATTAGAAACAAAAGTATTTTGTGCCAGTAGTCTCCCGAGAGCATCATGGAGTGGGACAGGGAAAGCCAGTCCTGATACGGGTTTGGCTGTGGGGTGCACTGGGTGCATTGTGACACCTTCACAACATTGCTGTATGTTTTGTCAACATCTTGGGCTGTTAACTTTGTAAATTTGGGTTCCCCTAATACCCTTAAATCCCGTAGAGGTTAACCGTTATGCACAATAAACAGAACACAAGAGAGACCGAGATACCACCAACCTTCACAGCTTCTGCGCTTGATGTAAATTGATGAAGTTAGATATCCCTAAATCAGCCAGCAGATGATCACCAGGAAGGCAGGATGGGTTGCTTTTTAGACCCAATCATTTTTGTGAACTTCCTTTGAATTCATCAGAGTTTTTATATGCTCTTTGAGGTGGGTTAGGTCAGGATGTACTGTATCAGCACGGAGTTACTTAGTGAAGGGAAGGTCATTCCTATATTCTTATGTGACATTCATCTCTTGAAACACGTTTAATGCAGCATCATTTTGGTACAGTGGTAGGTTGAGGGGATAATCCATTATGACGTTTAAAATTTGGTATATTGTGGCTTTCTAAACACAGGATTTTATC